TCGTATTACTGCTTTTGTTTAATGTATTGCTATCAAACTCATGGTACATCAGATTTATAATAACATCGTGACATTAAACTTATAATAACACGGAACTGACAATAATGTCAAACTTATGCATATTGAACCTTAATAACATAATTAAACTTGCAATTTTGCGTGTTAGAAGGTCGTGTACCTTAATACGTTTTTGATCTTAAGCACATCAATGTTTATGAACCGAGGTACTTTAACACTTTAGTCTTTTATCTGGCTTTATTTACAATTTGCACAAGTATAGGCACTTCGCTTGCCTTTTATCCTTTTCCTAAGCATAAGGTTGAGTGGTTAACCCGTGTCGAGACTTCTCTAACAGCTTTATCTGTTAAAGACATGTGCTACACTTCGCGAGTGCAGATGTGGTCCTTTTTGGGATCAAACTTCTTATCGAAGTGCCAACGCATCTTTTCATAGGGACATATCGTCTATACTCTTTGAGCTTTCTCAATAGGAGGCATTTTTTTTAATGAACTTGTGCAAATTTAATTTTTACATTGCGAACTTTGTTTCCTGAATGAGGACTCCAAGATAATGTCGCCTCTTCCTTTATTTAAGGAACGAGGACTTCGAAGAATACTGCATCTTCCTTTATTCAAGGAATGAAGATTTCAAGATAATACATTTTCCTTATTCAAGGAACGAGGTCTCCAACCAGTGATAAACATCTGGCGTGGCGGGGAATAAACATCCCGCGAATAGCTCTCGAACTATCGGAGTCTTATAAACTAGCCTCGGAATGACGCGGTCTTACAGTAAGGATTGCCTCGAAATGATGAGGTCTTATAGTTAGGCTGGTCTTGGAATGGAGAGGCCTTATATTTGGGCTAAACGATAGTGAGAGACGAGGAATAAGCATCTCGTGAAGCCAGAAATAAGCATCGGCGAAATAGGGAATAAAAAATTCTCGAGAATAACTCTCGAACTATCGGAGTTTTGTAAATTAGCCTCGGAATGACGAGGTCTTACAGTTAGGCTGGCCTCAGAATGATAATGTCTTACAGTTAGGCTCAACGATAGTGAGAGGCAAGGAATGAGCATCTCACAAAGCTAGGGATAAACGTTTGGCGATTTGCCTCTTCATTTTTCAAGGAACAAGGACTTCAAAATAATGATTCTTCCTTTATTCAAGGAATGAGGTCTCCAACTAGGGATAAACATCTAGTGTGGTGGGGAATAAGCATCCTGCGAATAGCTCTAGAACTATCGAAATCTTATAAGCTGGTCTTGGAATGACGAGGTTTTATAGTTAGGCTGGCTTCGGAATGACAAAGTCTTATAGTTGGGCTCAATGATAGTGAGAAATGAGGAATAAGTATCTCGCGAAACCAGGAATAAGCGTATGGCAAAATAGGGAATAAAAAATTCCCTCGAATAGCTCTCAAACTATCGAAATCTTATAAATTGGACTCAAATGGCGAGGTCTTATAGTTAGGCTAGCCTCGGAATGATGATATCTTAGAGCTAGGCTCAACAATAGTGAGAAGAGAGGAATAAACATCTTGCGAAGTCAGGGATAAGCGTCTGGCAATTTGCCTCTTCCTTTTTCAAGGAACAAAGACTTCAAAATAATGTATCTTCCTTTTTCAAGAAACAAAGACTTCAAAATAATGAATCTTCCTTTATTCAAGGAATGAGGTCTCCAATCAGGGATAAGCATTTGGCGTGGTGGGGATTAAACATCCCGCGAATAGCTCTCGAACCATCGGAGTATTATAAACTAGCATCGGAATGACGAGGTCTTATAGTTAGGCTGACCTCGAAATGACGAGGTCTTACGTTGGGCTCAACGATAGTAAGAGGTGAGGAATAAACATTTTACGAAGCTAGGAATAAGCGTTTGGCGATTTGCCTATTCCTTTTTTAAGGAACAAGAAATTCAAAATATACTGCGTCTTCTTTTATTCAAGGAATGAGGACTTCGAAAAATACTACCTCTTCCTTTATTCAAGGAACGGGGACTTCGAGATACTACTTCTTCATTTGTTCAAGGAATGAGGACTCCAATATACCGCACATTCCTTTATTCAAGGAACAATGATTTCAAAATACTGGCTATTCCTTTATTTATGGAACGAGGACTTCAAGATTTCACTTCTTCCCTTATTCGAGCAATGAAAATCATAAAAAAGCCAACTCTTCCTTTATCCAAGGAACGAGGACTCATAGAATGCTACATCTAATAATAAGAAATCCATGAGCTTGGCTTGCCTTCAAAGATACAAGATCTTACAAGCTAGTCTCAGATATGCGAGGTTTTATAGCTTGGCTCTTCTTATTTACGAGAGGAGTTCCCTTAACAGCACAACCATTGTAAAGCAACCTAACTTGCATCAATAAAGGTGGTTCCCTGTTCCCAATTTTCGTTCCTTTTTGTTGATATGATACATCCTCAAAATTACGAATCTTCAGAAAATCATCATCCCAATTACCTTTCGAACACTTCATGGCTAGATTTTCAGAGATGTAGCATGTTCTATCAGTATTGAAAAGAGGCCTCCCATCTTCATCAAAGATAACAGAGTCATTCTCATCTAGGAAAGGTATATCTTCAATTCTCTCAATTTCCACATAATCAAGATCAATTTGAAGCTTTATGGTCTTCGACAGGATCAAAGAAAGTTTGGCCATGCACTTTTCTATTGATGAAACTGTGTGTTTGTGCATATGTTGTACATATTATTGTGTGTGGAATCATTTGAATGAAATATTAATAATGGAGTAATATCATCTCCCATATATTTTAGTCACCTTTTCCTGGCTGAATGAGATAGACCAAGCAGAACAAATAGAAATGGTGGACTGATGATCATGAACTTGAAGTCTTTTTTCTCTGTGACTCATCCTTTTTTATTTTTGGTTCTCCAAGTATTTTTGCCCTTTTTCCATGTAATTTAAAATATATGACAGCCCAAATTGAAGCAAGGATGAAACCAAGTCCAATAAAGCTTATGAGCCTGAAACCGAGTTTGTTAGTGTGATAATAATTTTCAGCCCAAGAGGATTGATGGTAACCATTCAAAAAGTCGTAAGACCCAAACTTTTTAAACAGGCTTGGAGGTTATGGGCCCAAAGAAAATAAATCTCTAGGCCCAATAGCAAAACCCTAAAGAAGTATTCAAAATATATTCATTCGGCCAGAAGCTGCAAAGAAAAGTCAACAAAATCAAGCACTTGACAACTTGTACACGGCTCAGACGTACATCAACAGCCTGGAAAGGCTACTCACTAGCAAGGCCTTGTCTCCATTGGAGCCAGTGTTGATAGGAATGGACAGAGTCAGACCATGTACTGTTGGTCACTATGGTCTCACGAGATGCTGCTAGTTGTCATCGGAGATGTCCGTAGGATATAGATTTTACCCAATGTTCAAAGGCTGTGGCGGAGCCTTCTTTTTTGCCAAGGCATCCGTTCAAACACCACTTCAAGTCCGAACATTTTACAGATGCACGTGAGAAATTCTCTATTCAAGAATGAATAACATTTTCAATATTTTTGGATTTTTTAAAGCCTTGTGAGCGATGCATTCCACTATTCCTTAAGGTAGCAACCAAATAATATTTATTCTCCAAGTTTGAACATTCTCCAAGACACTGAAAGGCAACATAACCATAAATTTAAAGAGTCGATTTGTAGTTTTTTTTTCGAAGGAATGGATTTAATCAAACAAGATGTTTCATCGCTCATTTGTTGCCGGAAACTATGTAAAAATGGTGATTTTCATCTTCCACAAAGTAATGTTCTTGTTGTCTGCCACAAAATGGATAACATCGAGTGATTTCGAATTCCAGTAATTCATTAAGAAATCCTAATGCTCCAAAGTTCATTCTTCCACCTTTCAAATCCACTAAGTGGGATTATAGAAGACTGGCCTTTTGTTTCTCCTCCATTGGCATCATCTTCCAATCACCGACTCTTTTGGCTATTTTCTTTGGTATTTTGGCTAAAAGAAACTACCTGCTGGAAAATTTCCCATTTCAGCTTGCCGTGGCCATTTCTCATGACAGATTCTTCAACCATTAATCAACAATAGCCATTTTTCATGGTAGATTTTTCAACCCGAGTTTCTTCAACACTTAACCGATAATGACCATTTTTTATTTGGTTGCTGACTATGGTTTTTGGTAGAGGATACTGCCCGAAAAAACTACATTTTTCAATGACTTTTTGGTACGTGGTAGAAAATGGTTAACATATCGTTTTCCACATACGATGCCAATTTGTTTACCCAAAAAATGAGCTAACAGAATCCCTGCCACATCATCTCTACGTGGACCTTCCTTCCTGTTATGAAATGAATTGCATATATATATATATATATATGTGTGTGTGTGTGTGAAAATGGGCCTGTGGGCCTAATGGGCCGAAGCCAAGCCCAATATAAGATATTTTATGGGTATAACAGTAATAACAAGTTGCAATATTTCTCTTATTTTTTTTGGGGAAAATTTACGTTAGTAATTATTATTTTAAACTTACAGAAATCTCATCAGATGATACTTTTTAGAAGAGATTTTCTAGGGATGGGTTGCGGATTTTCCTAAGGCAGAGCGGCCAAAGATTCTAATCCCAATTTACATCTCCATTTTCTAATTTATTTACTTTTAATATTATTTATTTTTAAAATATGATTCAAATTTAGAAATATAAATTTAAGATAAAACGCGTTCTCTTTCTTATTTTCGAAAACGCATTTTGAAAACAAAAAAAAAAAAAAAATTGTACTGAAAACACAAAACGTCATTTTAGACGTTATGGGCGTTTTCAGTACAAAACACGAAATAAGATGCAAACGCTCACCCAAATAAAAAAAAATTTGTACTGAAAACACAAAACGTCATTTTTTACGTTTTGGACGTTTTCAGTACAAAACACGCCAAAAATTGAAAAACACGAAAAACGCTCAACAGCATCCCTTTCTCTTCTTTTCTTTCAATCCCCCAAAAAAAAGGAAAACATTGAAAATGCCCAAACCATCTCTTCCTTCTCTCTTCTCGACGTCAGCAACCCACTCAAACACTGCAACCGGTGACGAAGGAGATGTGCCAGTGCTGGTACGGGTGCGGGCATGGAGAGGCGACGCTACTGTAAACGCAGCGTCGCGACCCATTCATCACGACCTATTCGTCGCGATGCTGTTGTGGTTTGGGCCCGTCTCTGCCTTCTCTCTCTTCAAAATCGACGACCCATTGAAGAGGTAGATAGACCAGTTCCCGTTTTTCATACTCTTCAACAATGATTAATTTTGACTAAACCTAATTGCTTCTTTTTGGTCTTTAATTTCAGTAAAATAGTGGGATTTTAGTTAGTTATAAAACTTTGTTTTTGGGTACTTTTGAACATTTGATTTCTTAACTGAAACTTTTAGTGGTAAGTTTGGCGTTGATATGCTCATTTTCTCGGATGAGAGGTCATCTAGGCTTGGGAGATGCGAAGCCAGAAGATGTGTCTGAAGACACAGTTAAAGCTGTAACTGAAACTCTGAGAACCTCTACTTTCGTTAAGGCTTCTAAAGATGGTGAGTTTTCATAATTTGAACTTATGTAGAAGAATTAGAAAGACTAGTCTATAATTTGAAGAATGTTATTTACATAATTGATACCAAGTCTATGCATTCATAGCTGTTTTACTTTTCAGGCAAGAAGCTTGGTAGAGTTACTGAGCTAGAGAAGCCGGAGGAGGTTATAGAGCAATTGGATGTCAGAACAATTGCTGCCTCACCGCTGGAGTATGATGTGAAACTTGAAGACGTAGAATTATTCTTTAACAAGTATGCTAAGGTATATAATACTCCAATTTCATTGATTATAGACTATCAAGCGATTATTTTGCCTATTTGAACCTTAAGTAGTGCAACATTCTACTTCATGGGTATGCATTTCCCTAAATAACAGACATAAAAGGGAACTACAATCACATCTCATGTCTAGAGTTCAGATATTTACGCATACATGTATTTCCATTTAGAAATTGGACATGATTTAACAAAATTAATCCTTAAGGCCTCATAGAAATTTGAGTTTTGTCGGTAGTATTTTTGCACAGATTGCTTAAAATTTCACACACCTTTTTGCTTGAGAGAGGATAAATAGTGTGATAATTAATAGCTGAATTTTTGTGTAAAATTCTAGGTTAATAGTGTGAGGCTACCTCGTCATGTTGCTGACAAAAGGTTGTTTTCTGGAACTGCCCTTATTGAGTTCTCCACTGAGGAAGATGCTGCAAATGTTTTAACGCAAAGCTTGAGTTATGCAAGGGTTGAATTAGAACTAAGACCAAAGTAAGAAAATCTTTCCTAGGTTGTTGTTTCTATGTACGTTCATTTGGTTCTAATTACTCATTTAAGGAAACTATTCAGAAGGAACTCTGTCAGGTTCAGATTGATTATGGATGTTTCCATGGAATACCGAACTCTTCTTTTTGATTTTTGGGCAAATTGTTTGCCAAACCAACATGTTCGTTGTCATAATACATGTAGCAAGGGATGTTGTGTAGGCCTTAACTTGCATTTGTTTTCCCTTTGAGTTTTTTCTTATTCTGCAGCCTTATGACCTCTTTTTTAGGCATCATGTGGTTTGACAATGACAAGTGGGGTGTGCATTTTGGGTTCGCAGTTTGGGGGTGGTAGTTGATTGCTAAATAACGGTTCAATAGCCAGGTTACAAAAGATGGGATTCTGTGTGGTTTTCTTACTATTTGACTTGTGAGGGAGCTCGATATTAGTGGAAGTAGTAGATAGAAATATTCATTCTTACTATGCACTTGTGTTTGTTTATGTTATTGCAATAGTTACTTTCCTGCTGGTGCTTCTGTTCTATTTCAGATGCACTAAATTCTTGAAATACTACATGGGTTTCTCTTCTTGTGGCTGTTTTGTTACCCCATGGGGCTTTGAGACTCTTGGTAGAGCTTGCGATAGCTCAGGATGAAGATATCCCTGCTTTAGTTTATGAGGCACGTCCAGATATTAACAATGATTTATCTTCAAGTGGTGATGTTGTACAAAGAAGGGTATGGAGAAAGAGAAGGAATGCATGTTCTACTTCGGATGAAAATTCAGATGCGAGGTCTAACACGAATACTAGTCTGGGGACATATTTATCAGTTGGAAGTGGTGAGAACGAGGTTCATTTGGTTAATACTGAAGAGGGTCAGATTTTTAGAGGGGACTCCGAACTCGCTGCACCTCTTAATCAGCATATAATAATTGTCCATATGAATTCAGAGGAAGATGCAAGTCCAAGTGAAAATTTTGCTCTGGAAGTCATTTGTACTTTGGTTCTCATATTGTGCGCAACAATGAAAATAGCAACGACATATTCATTTGTTCCAAAAGGGCTACTCATTGTTTGCATACGAGTCTTCCGTGATTTGTATGCTAAGGGTCAAATGGCTATGCGAAGCGAACTGATTGATTTTTAGATATTGACAATATTTGTGATCTGCCTTTTTACTTGTAAGTAGTTTATCAATAATCAAGGAGTGTTATTTATTATCACTTATGATAGTCATCGTGTTTAGACAATCAAAATTGTAATTGGCAAGAATTGTGAGAAATAACATGAACTCGATAAAATTGATTTCAAAATATTTATGAAATTAAAGTACTAGTGATAGTCGAGTCTAGCGGACTGTAAGTTCATAATTCGTTTATAGTGGATTGTTGACTGGTAAAGTGCCCGAAGTTTTTACCCAGCTAGGGTTTCTCCGTAATCATTCTGGTTGTTTATTTATTGTTTTCATATAACTGCGGGAATTCTACTTAGAAAAGTGACTTGACTGATTAACCATCTAGAGATAATTAATAATGACTTGTTGCTAGTTAAGTATTAATTTTTAATTTCGTATAATCACCTATTCACCTTACTCTAGGTGCAATTTGGATCGAACCTCGTAATTTCAATTGGTATCAGATCTACATTTTCGATTCCTAACCCGTAAATTAAACTAGATGGGTCAATCTCTATCTATGCCTATGTTTTTTTATGGAAGCAACTATCTTTGCTGAAAAGTTCGAATGAGAGCTTTCCTTAAAGTATTGGATGAGCATCTTTGGATCAATGCACAAAACGGTTGGATTGCACCTTTATCCACTGTTGCGGTGTTGTTACACCCATGACATTTCTCTTTGGACCAAAGATCAAGTAGCTGATTGCAATTGGAATAGTGAATGGCTTCATGTTCTATTTATGGCTATGTCTGTAGAGGAGTTTAGGAGAGTGTCGATTTGTGAAACTGTTAAAGAGGTTTGAGATATATTAGAGATCATACACGAGGGTGCCAAAACTGTTAAGAACTCCAAACTACTAATGTTAACCTCTAGGTTTGAAAAAATTAGAATGAAAGACGATGAATTCTATGCGAAGCTTAATAAATAGTAAACACGAGTTTCAACCTAGGTGAGAAGATACCCAAGTCTAAGATAGTTCAAAAAGACCTTAGATCCCTACTTGAAAGGTTTAGACCTAAAATCACTACTATTGAAAAAAGTAAGGAATTAGGTGAAGTTAAGATATAGGAACTCGTAGGATCTCTTTAAACCTATGAGCTCACTATTTCTCAACCAGAGAAGGTTAGATCCATTGCCATGAACTCTATTAGAGAAGAAGAGAGTAGGTCTACTGACACTGAAACTCGACGATAAAATAGCTTATTTCGTGAAGAAATTCCATAAGGCGATAAGGAATAAGAGAAAACCTCATGATAGGAAAAATGATGTCCCTCGTAAATTCTCGAAAGAAAAGCATGAGAAGAATAACCCTAGAACTTCTAGTAAGAAAACCCAGTCAGTTAGATGCCATGAGTGTCAAGGTTTTGGTCACTATAGGAATGAATGTCTCAATTTGAAGAAGAATTTAAATAAAGGAAGGGGCAAGGCATTAGTAGTGACATTGAGTGATGATGAACCAGTTTCGAGTGTTCAGAGTGATATATCGGCGGTGAGGATGAACAAAATTTTATGGCTTTTACATCTATAGTTAAAATTGAATCTAATGAGGAGACTGAAACGGTGGGAAATGATGAACAAAGTGAGAATTTTGAGAATGACTCTAAGGATGAGATTGATATTCATGAATCTTATCGAGAGCTGTTTGATGACAGTCTTAAAATCAAGAAGGTCAATAAAGCTATACTAAAAAAAGTTAATGAACTTGAAAGAAAGAAAGAGAAACTCTTAGGTGACCTTTAGAATTCTACCAAAAATTTGAGTGAGTTGAAACTTGTTAATGAGAGTCTAGAAGCTAAAGTTAAATCCTTAACAAATGATCGAGAAAAATCTAATACTCAACTTCATTCTTTCATGAGTGGTACTAAGAAACTCGATAATCTGTTAGGGAGGAACAAGCCTGTTGAAAAAAGTCTCAATCTAGGATACTTTCAAAATGGTAATACTACTGTTAGTATTTCCAAGACCACGTTCGTCCAAGCCACCAACAAAATTAGGAATGCTGCTAATCCTAAACCCAATGACAAAAATATTTAAAGATCAAGACCTACTAGACAACGTAGGATCAATTGTCCTATAAATTGGCAACAACCTCTGAGTAGGTTTGAGCTTAGGTTCATTCCCACATGTCACCTTGTGGTGCACTGGGACACGCAATACCTAGGTGTCGTAAGCTCATGTCTATTAGTAAAAATCAGGATATCTCAAGAAAGGTTAATTTCCTCGTCAATCAGGTTGGCCATTTAACTGAGATGATGACTCAGTTAACTAGAATCTCTTCTACTTCTAAGAAGGTTTGTGTTAAGAAGAATAACTTGAAAGATCGTGAATTGATCACGCTCTTAAAGGTAAGAGCATCAGTGTACCTCTTTAATTAGGTGTTTAGGTGCATGTATGTGCAGTTCATTTAGTCCATTCCTTCTTGCATACATCTCATTTATTTATTTTTTGCTTTTAAAAGTTCTTGATTTTTTTAATAAAAAATTGTGTTTTTGTGCCATTGGACATTTTATGATGTTCTTAAATACTGCATTTGTGATCGAATATGCATTCATCTGATCGGTACTGTTGTTTCCATTACTTGATTAGGTTTAATGTAGAGTATTGAGTATATATTTCTTCATGTACCATCTGCACAACACATAATGTGATCTTGTGAGTGAGTCTGGACCGTATGTGTGAGATTTGGAATGACTGTCATCTATTGGTAATGTGAACTTGAATGTGAATAGACCTTCATTTACATGACCCAACCTCACATAGAATCCCCTTATCATAAAATAAATTAAAAATTTTGGTTAATCTTATACTCTTTTTCGAAGTTTATTTGACTTGAGTAGTTAATCCAGACGGGTTTCTCATAATTTTGTGCTCTATGGTCAACTGACTTGGAGTCATCGACCCAACACTCGTTGCATGGGTCATTTTAGTCGTTAATGAATAAGAGTCTGCAAAAATACTTATTTAATAGTGATGTTCACATGTCATTTATCACAAATTTAAGGTTTGGAGTCATGTTCATGAGAAAATAGTGGCACTTAACACACGTGAGTCATTTATACACTTTACTCCATTTAAACTAGATTTGAGTACGTAGGAAATTTTTTATTGATATGCAATACTTGTGAACACATACATTTTTGAGTTCATCAGTATGTCGAAAACTTGATTTAAAAAAAAAAACAGGGCTATTTTTCGAAATTTTCAAAAATTCAGTGCTATTCGTGTCAAAAGTTTTTCATCAGCTTTTCGCAGAGCGTCGCTCGAGCGATAAAAGTAGAGGTTGTTTCACTTGCTTATTGCTCGAGCGACAGCCTGCATGTTTGAATTTTAACGTTCTTTTTTCGAATTTTTTTGGAAATTCTTCATTTCCTTCTTATTTTTTCTTCTAATATCGACACTCCAATTTCAAAAATGTGAAATTAAACATCAAGTGAACATCAAACATTGATTGTTGGATTGCATTTCCGCACAAATTCATCCAATTTTCCTAAAATTTCAAGGTAAAGGTCGAAACACTAGTTTTTCGATTTTTTTTGTATTTTTTGGGGGGTTTTGATGTTCTTGGTTGAATTCTTCATTTCCACTTCATGATTGAATGTTTCCATTTAATTTCAACTTCCATTGCATTATTTGGGTGATTTTTCCTTGATTTTAGCGTGGTTTAAGGGAGCACGTTACGTTTTTGTTCTTTTTTTTTTGTTAATCTTTTGGTTTTGATGAAGATTGGGTTAGGAGTAGTTGATGGCTCGTGGCTGTGTTGGTTGTGGTGTTTTTGGTCAATGGTGATGGACTTCGTTGGTATGTACATTCACACCACATGATTGATAAAACCGTTCGATGTTATTGATGCTTATTGTCACTTGGTTGATACCCATTCACAAACTTGATCAAGTTAGGGTTGTTAGTTTGTTGTGTTGATGACGTTTATGTAACATTTGATGTTGACACCACGAGGTGACGTCACGTCACCCGTCATGTCAACGCGGTACACGTCACGTCATCGTGACACAATGTTAAGGCATCACGTCATGTCTTCAAGGCATCGAGTCGCGATGTCAAGGCACCATGTCCCGGTGTCTCAGCATCATGTCATCTACATCCATGCATTGCACAATTTCATTTGTCATTAGTTTTCTAGTGTTGGTTTGCATCGGTTTTTCGTGCACATGGGTTGTTTGTGTGATTTTGTTGGGTTAGCATCATTTTTGTTGTCATTTCACGTGCATTATAGCATTTGATTTAGTCGTCTCGTCTGTTGCATTATTTAACGTGAGTTTCTGATCTACTTCCTAGATGCCGCCTAAACAAGTTTGAACTACTACACAAATATCGAGTGCATCCACATCCTTTAGTCGATCCCGATTCATATCTGACACAACCCAAGAGGTATTCGGGACCCAGTTCTCGCTACTCCCAGTGCTAGTGGAGCGCAAGGTAGTCTTATCTGACATTTTCCCTGACCTCGCTGCCATTTTCACT